GATAGAGAGAGAGACAGAGAGAGAGAGAGAGACGGAGAGAGAGACAGAGAGAGAGACAGAGAGACAGACACACAGAAGGAGAGAGACAAAGAGACACAGAGAGACAGAGAGACAGCGAGAGTGAGAGAGAGCAAGAGAGAGAGAGAGAGACAGAGAGACACACATAGAGAGACAGATAGAGAGACAGAGAGAGAGCAAGAGAGAGAGAGAGAGAGAGAGAGAGAGAGAGAGAAAGGAAAGAAGAAAGAGAGAGAGAGAGAGAGAGCCTGCATCCTACTTGTATGTTGGGGGAGGAGTTTAGGCAGAAATCAGACTAAAGTTTTGTTCCTCAGGAGACATTTGCATTGTTTTGTGTGTGTGAGTGTGTGTGTGTGTGTGTGTGTGTGTGTGTGTGTACATGTATGTATATCTCTACATTTATTTAATTTGTATGTGTGCATATGTGAAGGGAGGCATGCCAGTGCACAGTGCACGGTCAGAAGACACTTGGTGGAGTCAGTTCCATTCAGTTCAGCCCCATATGGGTTTCAGGAATGGAACCCATGTCACCAGGCTGGGCAGCAAGTGCCTTTATCTGCTGAGCCACCTCCCTAGTGCTACCTTGCTGTTGAGACAGGGTCTTTACTGGCCTGGATCTCACCAGGCTAGACTGACTGGTCAACCTAGAGAAATGCCTGTGTCTGTCTACCTAGTAATGAGAGGGTCCAAGCATGTACCATCACCACACATGACTTTTTGACATGGTGTCAAGAATCAACTCATGTCCTCGTGCTTGTGTGGGAAGCATTTTCCTGACTGGGTCATCTCCCTGGCCTTCGGAACACATGTTTATATTTTATAGAAAGGGCCAGCCACTGGTCACTTGCTGTCCCTGATATGAGGTCTCCCATGTGAGTCCTCCAACACGGAATAGTGACAATGCTGTTGTCCTGCTAAGGTCCAGCCACATGGAAGGACAGAGCTGCCCTGGGTACCACCGGTTGGCCTTACCTGTCTCCTGCAGGGGCTTGAAGCACCAGGGCACATTACGGATGCTGGAGTCAAAGCAGCAGCCACGGTTGTTGCACTGCTCTTCAGTGACGCTGGGGTAGCCACAGTCCACCCTGACTTTTGCTGGGACCATACACTGGTTTGGAGCTGTCCAAATGAAACCCAGTCAGCTGCCAGACTACATGTTTGAGGTTCCTTCCTGCAGAACCCTCTCCACCCTTCCTCCTGATTTCAAAGACAGTGACAGTGTTGCCCCACAGGGGATGTCCAGAGAAAAGCAGTTCATTGTGAGTGAAGCTCCCTGGATGTCCCCGACAGTGAAGAGTGGGAATCCTGAGCTAAAATCATCCTGGGCTGTTGTTAGTTCTTTTCTGAGTTGTTGACCACCCATCACTGAACCTGACAAGCATCCTTTGACTGTCAGGTGAAACCACTGGAATGTGTTGCCCTAACAGACCCCTAGCTGCTACCACCCCAAAGCTAACAATGTGACCGTATAACATCAGAAGCTGTGGCAAAGCCCCCATCCTCTGTTGTAGCCCTCACATCCCCTTCTGTGTACTCGGCAAATGCCTGAATTTAGGACAATCTTTTGTTGTGTCTATAGAGCTTCTTGCTGCTACTATCATGGTGAAAGGGACATTTTCCTGGCCATAGCCACTCATATTGACTGGTGATAAATCTTTTTTTTTTTTTTTTTGAGACAGGATCTCATGTAGCCCAGGCTGGCCTTGAACTTGCTGCACACTCATGGATTTGGAAAGATAGCTCTGGTTTACACATACTACTGAATGCTAACTCAAGGAACTTGGCCATTTGCCCAGTGTCCCTCACTTGGCTTAATTATTCCACCTGGTCAGAAAGTCATGAATGGGTCTATATACCCTTCAGCTGGCAGGGTCCCCAGGAATCTAGATGCCCTTCAACTGGCACTGTCCATGGGAATCCAGGGACTCCTGAACCCCGGAACAAGGTCCCTTCCTTAATAGATCCATGAGAACTTCCCCTCCACAGGGGAAAGTGTCCCAGGAGGTTTCATGCCATAGGGAAGAATGCCATGTGGACTGTTCTAATGTCTCTGCTTCAGAATCCACCACATGGCGGTTAGCTTGTCCCGTCCAAGCTGTGACCTTCCTCCATCTCCAGTGTCCATGCTTCATGGTCACATGCTTGTCCGTATGTGACCCAAAGCCTGCCTTCTCCCACCTGCTGATTTCCACGATGAAAGTGGAAGCCCAGCAAACTTCCACAGCTCCCCCTCCTCATTGGATCCATCATGCCTTCTTCAGTTACTCCAGACCTTGACCTGGGGCTCTAAGTGACCTTTTCAAACTTCAACCTGGCATCAGCTTCCAGATGCTCTTACATGCTTGGGGCATGTCTTCACCTTGGACAGGTGTGACCTGGCGAAGGTCATACACGATGTCTCTCAGCTTGGCTCCTCTCACCCAGAACTGTGATTCAGTGGTTTCTCTAAACTATGTGGAACTTCTACTGCCTTCTTAACTGTTTACTTTTTGTTCTGGTAACTCACCAGGACGGTGTTTAAAGACTATCCCAGCTCAGAAATCTCCAATAAAGAAGAGAATGAGAGGCACTGAGCACCAGCCATCCCACCCACCGCAGCCCTGGTTCCCACCCAGCTGCAGACTCTGGCTGAGGAGGAGAGAGGATGCTCACTGAGCATCCATTATCTTGTCTGTGAAATGGGACAGAAAGAGCCACTGTGTAGCACTGCTGCAAGAAAACAGGTGCCTGGTAAATGGTAATTAGTTATTAAATTGATGTACAAGGTAGACAGGTGTTCTGTGTCCCTCCCCCTGCTGAGAGCTCCCAGCCTGGTACCCAGGGACCCAGATAGGTACTTACACAGGCCAACATACTCTGCAGCTATCCCAGAGGACCCTGCAAGCAGGACCAGCAGCATTAGCCAGAGGGCTCTGGTCTCCATGGCAGCAAGCAAGCTTGGGGATCAGCACACAGGATGTGCAGGGTCACAAGGATGGCCCTTTTATACCCACGTGTTTGCTGGGTTCTGTGGACTCTGGCCTCAAGCTCCACCACCCTCTCTCTTGGGGAATTCCAGAAGACTCCTCCCCCATCCTAAGTCAGGGGATGGGGATCGGGGAGAAGGACCAGCCTGGGGTTGGTCCAGCCACTACAGGATCCAGTCGGGGAGCAACGTTTGTCAGTCATTGTATGAACCTAGTGTGCAAGAAGGCTCTGTGAGGCTGCAAGGGGCAATCAGTCTTGTGGTGCCAATCTCCTCACAGAAGCAATTCAGAGGACCCTGGGTCACTTAGTCCACAGCACCAGTGACACCTAAAACACAAATGACAACTATTCTGGACACCTTGGTGTCTCCCTTATCTGTTACTCTTAAAGGCAGAAACTCTGGTGCTGCACTATCTCCAGGAAAGCCATTTTATTATTAACTATACTTTAATAAATACCTGAAATACATTTATTTGGTGTATTTTAATAAAGATAATATACATTTGGTTCTTAAAATGAAATAATAGTAAGTCCCCCTTCCTGTCCAGAGACATGGATTTTCAGCACCTCTAGTCTCTAGAGTCGAGTGGATTTTTTAAAAATTTACTTACGTGTGTGTGTGTGTGTGTGTGTGTGTTGGTGTGTGTATGCCTGCATGTATGCAAGGGCATGCAGAAGTCAGAAGAGATATCAGGTCTTCTAGAACTGGAGTTATAAACCTTTGTGAGCCGCTATGTGGGTGCTCAGAATCAAATTTGTGTACTCTGAAAAAGTAGCCAGTGCTCTTAACCACTGAGCCACCCTCCAGAACCTCCTAAGTATATTTTAACCCAAGAAGGTACAGACTCTTCATCTTTGTCCAGTCTGTCTTGCCTTACTTTCAATAAGTGTTCAACATTGGAAACCAGCCTAGACAGCCTGTAAGGATGAGGCTGGTGAGAGTAGACCTGGCTCCTGAAGGAAGAAACTGAGGCCAGTGGCTGAGGCTACACATCCATTCTTCATGGATCTTCCTTGCCTGGTGTCATCAACAGGCTTGTTGCATCATCCATAGGCTTTCACGGGGACCACCTGAGAACCCTCTGGCACATTTTGTCCATCACCCCACAAAACGGCTACATCTGGCTGTTCGAACTTGGTGTCCACATTGGGCATGTATAAGAACGGTACCCAAAGGGGCATCCAGGAGTCATCCTTGACTGACTGACCAGTGGAAGCCTGCAGTCTGTTCCTGGCATCAGAGATACAGCCTTCCACATGGGGAGAGCATAGAATAGGGAGAGCACGGTCAGAGTACACAGGGCTGAATCAAAGACCAGACATAGCATGCTGATACTGGGACCTCATGACACCCAGCAGTGCCCTGGAGATCACAGCCTGGAAAGGAGTTAAAAACCTTAAGGCAGGAATTGGGGCATAGAAGAGCTGTCAGGCTGAGGTGACCTCTAACTGGGTTTTGAGGCATGGGTATGAGTTAGGTAGTTGAGTGAGGGTCAGAAGAAGGGTATAGAAGTGGTACCACCTGCTTGGTGACACCAGCATCCCACAAAAATGCAGTCCTTGAGGCAAGAGAAGGCAGAACATGGTTCTGTCTCTCCCTTTTCTCAAGTTACCACTCTTGGTTGTCTGAGCCAGCAGTTAGGTGGAGGAAGAAGGCAAAGGCCAAGCAACGCTGCCAGGAATTCCTGCTGGCCACCTGTCACTCGTTCTGCAGCTGCACTAGGTGTGGTCCCCCTCCCATCCCCTGTGAATTCTTCTCTCGCCTCCCAGCCCTTCTGAGTCATGAGGACCTAGACGTGAGTATTTGGGGAGGCAAACACCATGGCTGGTTCAAGGGTTCCCCGGTCTTTTAGTGGCAAATGCAAAAGTGACATACTAGCTGCAGAAGACGATCCCCACATAGGGCTGAGTCTCCTGCCCTGAGTACAGAGGCAGTGTCCTCCCATCACTGTCAGAAGGTATAGGCCCTGGTGTTCTAGGAAAGCAATGCCCAGCTTAAAGAATAGTCGGGCCTCGCCTCAGAGATCCCTGGTTCCAGATGTTTGTAGGTGGGTGGGGCTGTGGCATGGAACCGTCTCCCAGGAATACCTTATGGAACAAGAGATAAGTCTAAAACACAGCAGCTGACAGCCTTGCAGCAGGGCACTGAATCACACGCGCCACCCTGCCTTTCCTCTGCACGTTCATGGCTCTTACCACACACTGACAGCAGCCACCTCAGGAGAGCCAGTCTGTGTGGCCTCGGGGGTGGGGTGGGGGACCTTGAGTCTTCAGGGAAGCCGAGAGCCCTTCCCTACTAGACCAGGAGGCACACAGCTTTTCTCAGATGTTCACAAACACAAAACTGCGGGTGTGGGTTCAAAGCCCTGGACAGATGGGATGGGAAACCCCTGGCCACAATGGCTGCCCACCAGCAATCCAGATGAGCCGCAGTCTCTTTAGGGTACCAGTCTTCACCTCTGTGAACCAAGATGGTGTCACAAGGATTTCAAAATGTGCTGGGTTGGTCAGAAATAAGATCCTAGAGGGTGCAACTCAGTAAATAGTGATACTACCAAACGGGAGTAAGGGTGACCCAACTCCAACTGATGGGCATTCTTTTAGGAGGAGGAAAAGGCGCAGAGACAGGGGACAATGCGAGCAGAGACATGGAAGAAGGTGACCAGATAACAATGGGACAGAGACGGGAGGGACAAGTTCACAAGCCAAGGAGTGCCAACAGCAGCCACCAGGAGTGAAGAGCAGCAAAAACGTCCCCTGCCTCTTGAGCCAGGTATGGTGACACACACCTTTAATTCCAGCACTTGAGAGGCAGAGGCAGGCAGATCTTTGTGAGTTCGAGGCCAGCCTGGTCTACACAGTGAGTTCCAGGACAGCCAGAGCTACATAGTGAGACCCTGTCTCAATCAAATGAAGTCTCCTGCCCAGAGTCTATGCAGGGAGCAGTGCTCTGCCAACACCTTGAACCTGGGCTCAGGGGCTTCGGGGTTGGAGAGCCAAGTCTCTGTCAGGTGACCCACCTCTATGGTCCTTTCTATGGTAGCCACTGACTCTGAGTCCATATCAGTCTCTGCTCCAGGCAGGAAGGGCAAAGCATCTGGAACTTTCCAAGGCTCATCTCTAGTGGCCTCCCCTCTGGCGGCCTCCCCTCTGATGGCCTCTCCTTTGGGGGTCTGTCCTCTGGTAGCCTCCCCTCTGCTGGCCTCCCCTCTGCTGGCCTCCCCTCTGCTGGCCTCTCCTCCAGTGGCCTCCCCTCCCAAGGCCCCTCCTCTGGTGGGTCACACCATCAAATGTCTGTGTTTGTCTCTCATTCCCTGGTAACTATGCTGACTCTTCATTGAATGAATGGCCTAAAGTTGTAAACAATGCTGTCCAAATGCATGTGATCATGGAAACTCTAAACTTTTACAGAAAATACATGAAACCCAGATCATTGGTCAAGAATTTGTAAAGAACCTACATTAAAAATAGGGAAGATACAACATGATTTTTTTTTAAAGACCAAAAAAGGGGGGTGGGAAATACACTCTAAATACATCCAAGTAAGAGGCCCAGCCTCGTTTCGCAGTTCGGAATCACAGAACTAGAGTCGGCACACCCTTGCCTGCACGCTGGTGCGGGTGCTTGGAGAGTGTGACTTCCACTGTGTCAGGTACATTGGAAAAGCCTGCGTTCCAATAGGAAGAAACTGCCTGTCAACAGAGAGTCAGTTCCAAGGCATGTTAGACCCATGTTCACAAGAATGTGTAAGATCTACTTTTCTTGATATAAAGAAATTTCAAAGACTAATATGAGTGTACACTGAAAATATTGCACTTCATTTCTGGTCATTAAAAAAACAGCAAATATTCTACCACCTGATGCTTATAATTAAGTGTGGGATTGAGACACAGTGCCTTCAGAGTGCTTCTGGAGAGGGAAGAGGAAAATGGCTGTCATCACGAGCTTCAGTTGTCAACCTGACAGACCTGGGAAGAGGGAACCTCAACTGAAGAATTGCCTGCACCTGACTGGGGCAAGTCTGCAAGTTGATGGAAGATGGCCCATTCCACTGTGGGCGGTACTATCCCTAGGCAGGTGGGCCTGCACCATACAATTAAGCAAGCTGGGCAAGCCAGGGCAAGCAAGCCTGGAAGCTTCTGTCCTCTTGTGGTCTCTCTGGCCTGCAAGTGCCTACATTGAGTTCCACCTGCCTTGGCTTCCCTTGATGACAGACTCTAAAATGTAAGATGACGTAATTTTTCCCCAAGTCTCTTGTAGTCCGTGTTTTATCACAGCAACAGAGATGCAAACAGGGACAGTGGCAAAGAAGTACTTTCAGAATCCCATTTCTTTATTAAGAGCCATCAAGACAGATAAAGCAGAAGCCAGCATCCCAGTAGATAGCCGCTGCGGTCCACATTGTTTGAGGAAATACATTTGAAAAACTTAAAGTTTACATTGAACAAATCCCAAGAACAATGAGGGGCGGTGGAGCAGGGGAGTCTCTGATGAGCAGCCAGGCTTAGGCTCGGATCCTGGTGTGAAGTTATTTTTACATCCAACCTGGAGAACTGGTCAACACCACAGAGTCTCATCTTGTCAGAAGTGAGGGGCCCACACTAAGTCCCACCCAGCACCAAACCTCACAGGGAAGAGCATTGTCTCAGATATTAACCTCTTGATTCCTGGGACCTTCTTAGGACAACCTCAGCTTTCTCTCTCACCATGCACTGGGAAATGACACATTCAGCTATAGCAGAAGGTGCTTAGTAGGACGGCCTTATGGGATGCTGATGGAGTTGAAAATGTCCTGGTGTCATATGCCATCTGTGTGAGGTTGACATAAAGTAGCCTACTTGTTCTCTCCTCAGCTATCATGAGCAGTACTCCTGACTTTCATAACCAGGCCATCCCTGGCCAAGAAACGAAGGAAAATTGTCCCATTCTCCAACAGATACTAATGAAAATGGTTTT